TAGCCATAACTACAAAAGAAAATGGAAGTTGGCGGTCGGCGACCTCTATATCACAACCTCTACACCCTTGTTTCAAAATCAACTCACCCCCAACAGGTGATACAACACAAATAGGAGAAGCTAACTGTGCCAACTCTAATCCCAAAATAGATGCAAATGCAGCAGATATAAAGGAATGGGATGTACCCGTATCAATCAACACATTAGCAACCGAGTTACAAAATAGAAAGGTACCTTTTACAACAGATGGAGCCGGTACAAGATCCTGCGCGATAACGGCATACACACGCCTTGAAGGCCCCTGATCTACCTGCTCACCTCTCGGAGCAAAAGACTGCTACACAGACTGAGACGATGAGGCGCCCTGATTGGCCCTCGAGGCCTGAACAGACTAAGCTGGTTGATAACTCTACCTCAACCCAGATGCACCAGATGTGCCACTCAACTGCGGGCAAAACCTCTTCAGGTGCCCCGCTTGACCACACTGGTAACAAGAGAGCGGCTGCCCGCTGCCCTGACTCTGGCTCTGAGGGCGAGCCGAAGATGAAGCTGCTCTCTGCCCTCCTCCCTTCTTTGGGCAAGCTGGAGACTTGTGGCCCAGCTGACCACACTTGTAACAAGTAAAGTCTCCCTGATTGCCTCTCCCAAAGCCTGAACTTGGCACTGGAAAGGTAGATCTCGCAAACGCACCCTGGGACTACTAAGGGTTAGGACCCCTCTGCCTCCTACCGTCCCCCTGACCATTCTGACTCCTCTTGGAGCCCCTCATCCTCTCCTCCTCCTCATGCATAATAATCTGAAGATGCGCCGCAACATCTACAAGGCGCCCATACTCCCAAGTCATGGACCCTGCAACTCTAGTCTTGAGCCCGTGCCTCAACTTCTTCTCGAATTCAAGACAATGGTGTTCCTCAGACGCTACCAACTCTGGGACAAACCTTGACAAACTGGTAAATGCGGCCTCAAACTCGGCCACTGGTGTATTCAGTTACTTGAGCTGACAGAACTGATCCCTCAATTTCTCTCTAACAGCGGGAGGCAAAAACTTTTCCTGGAAGGCATCTACAAAGGCCTCCCATGTCCCACCAATACGACCCCGAACAAACTTCCACCATTGACCCGCATCTCCCATCAGCTGGAAGGACGCCAAGGTCACCCTCAAGGCTCCGCCTTCGATGCCAAGCATCTCAAACGTCTTCATTATCTGCTTAAGCCACTCATCAGCCTTAAGTGGCTCTTTCGAATCCCCCAGAAACTCATTCGGATTAGACCGAAAAAACTCCCTCTTCAGAAAGGAAGGCCCTACCTCAACTACATGGTCTGGGCTTGATTCTCAGCCCTGGGAATGCCCATAGATTCCCTCAACGCTCCAGCCATCTCGCGGGCTAAGGCGCCCATGGCCTGCTGACCTACTGGCTCGACCACATTGGCCTGACCAACACCCTCCTATTGTGCCGGAATCTCATCCGGTATAGGCATCTCCTGCCTCCTAGGCCTACCTCGCCTACCACCACGTCCTTGTCCTGACATCCTAATAAAGGTAACGAAGACATTAGCACATTCACAAATGTGCCGAAGCTATAACACTCATGTCCTAATGCAATGGACAATAGTAATTCACTCCCCGTAAGCACATAATCACATAAGCACTTACGAATTTCATTTCCGAATAATGACAGTCCCGAGGCGTTGCTAGAGTTCCAGTTAGAAACGGCAGTGATCAAGTGCCTTTCCAACAGGACTCCCAGAAACCCAAGGATCCAATCAACATCCTAGAAACTAAATCTCATACCTAAATAGTCACGTAAACATGTTATCAAATAAACACATAACATGACATCTAAGTCTTTAACAAGTGAGACAAACCATTGTGGTACTAACAACTTCCCATTTACCCAAGTATTCAAACCCGGTACGCTTTGATACCAAGTTATAACGCCCTCAAAATAATACACATAAACCCAACTTTCATGATATACATAGACAAGAGAATAAAACACATTTCCATTCATCAGAGTATTCTTACAAAAAGAACTACATGTTGACAGCAAAAGTAAATGCCCTGTAGGCTTACAACTTTCCAAGTCAACACTTGGTTTCAACAAAATAAGAGTTCTAACTCTTTACACAAAAAGCCCTTGGCTTAAATTTACATGTATCACCAAAAATAACAAAATAAACAAAAGAGTCTTCAACTCCCAGAACCTTCCAAGCTATGTCCTTGGAGGTGGCATAACACCTGAACCTGAAAATGATGTCCCATACAGGGTGAGCCAACGCCCAGTAGAGATATGCTAAACATAATATGAGCAATAAGTAAAACACAAGCATTTGATAAATGTTTAACTCATATAAACAAACATATATCTCTTTCCATTTCATTATCCAAACCAATTCATAGACATGGTTCCTTATTCAGCCAAACAGTTCATGATGAGCCTACAACTCATACTAACAATACTTCAATGATTCAATTTCGAATGAGACTATAACTCACATAATTAACACATCAACACTTCCATTTCAAATGAGATTACAACTCAAATCATCATCATTCCGATACTTCAATCATCTACGTTATACAAACGTAATTCAAATTTCGGGATTTCACCACGGACACTCCGGCCAACTTAGTTATCACTGGAGTCCATCCCCTATCTCCTCCCAAATCTGGTTTAGGAGTCCATCCCCTATCTCTTCCCAAACCGTGGAGTACGTCCCCTATCTTCTCCCAAACAAGATACATATACAATGTATTTAAACCCTTATCATATACAATGATCAAGCGAAGTACATATTCAATGTGTTATTCCTTCCGTCTTATTCAATGACATACTCAATTGATTAGTTATAATTCACCTAATCATCATGCAGTGTCTACAACAATCAAGACTATCCTCCACCGATAGCCCACAACATTTATTTCTAAACAGGTAATAAATTATCAAGCAGATAAATTATTCACAATGTCAAAGGTGAGTGATTAATAAATCCCACTCCACTCAATTTCATGTTTCCATAACTTTCCCAAATTAATTATACCAATTAATTCATAACAATAAATTAGGGTTTTTCTCCCCATTTTATCAACATTGACCCAAAGGTCCAAATATCATCAATAAACATCAATGACCTCATTTTAAGACCCAAAATACATATATATATTGGTCAAAAGAACAAAACCCCTCCTTTCAACATTTCAAATCTCAAACCCTAGCTTCCCAAATCAAACTATTTATACAAAAGGCCCAACATCTATGTTAAAGGTCATAAAGATGAGTAGTTATCCCTACCTCAAGAGAAGAAGGAGATGAAGAAAACTCGAGATGCTCCAAACCCAAAGATTTTCGGATCAAAATGAGACCAAGCCAAGCTCCACACTTTATATGAAGGGACCAAGGTAGAAGATCACTAGATCTAGATGATTTTGTAGAGAGAAGGTGTTTTGTAGTGAGAGAAGCTCTCAAATAAGGGTTTTAGAAAGTTAGAGAGAGAGAGAGATGAAAAAGTGATTTAAAATATCACAATCGCGATCTGATATACGTATAGTCCACTCGAGCGGAGAGTAATACGCTCAAGCATAAGACACAAAAACTAGACTCGCTCGAGCACCAAGGCACAACAGCAAAACACCGCCCGCTCGAGCGCAAAGATACCCGCTCGGGCGGAGAATACACTTCTCCAGTATTTTTAAAGACTCCAGACACCTACTCGAGCACAAAACACCCGCTCGAGCGCAAACCCGCTCGAGCGTAAGGAACGCCACTCGAGCGTGAAAAACACCCCTGCTGTATATTTACAGACGCACAAAATGCTGAAAGGATGCAAACTCCGCTCGAGCGCAACAAGACCCGCTTGAGCGGATCATCAAAAATCTGGGCAACAAGATTAGAGACTAAGACTCAACCAACCTGTTCAAAACACGCCCAAGACATCCTAATAGACCAAGAATTAAAGGACGGAACGAGGCATAAACAACAATACTCAATCATGGACTCAAGTCCGGGATACTGTACATAAAAGGGAAAACCCGGGATCGCTATGATTTGAATTTAGGTTTTATATAGAATAAGAGAAGATACTATGGAGAGGCTGTATAATAAAAATATAGACTATTTGTATATGGTCTGGATCGGTTCCAATCCGGAACCGTGGGATTCAATCCGGAACCAATCTGTGGACTACGGATTTTTAATTCTTCAATCCGGAACCAAACCATAGATTCAAAAAACCAATCCAAACCTATTGGATTGGATTAGACTAGATCGGATTACGGATTTCACAGATTCCTTGCTCAGTCCTAGAGAAAATGCAGAATCTGCTAGTGCTTGCCAAGGGAAGATTTTTAATCTTTCCTGGATTCAGAAACAGCTTGCATGTTGCCATCAACGAACTCAAACTGATTTTGAGCTTCCTCAAAGTCGAAGCAAAGAATAATACCAGTAGTAGGAATTCGTTACAGGCTCGTCTTCTTCTTACTATTTACTTTGCATAGCACATCACTAATGTTTTCCTCCTAAATGCAAACATAACAAGAAGAAGATTAGATAGGGTTAGTGCAGCTTGTCAAATTATTCTTCAAAAAGCCATTAATGGTGTTTCCACTGCGGACCCAAGTTTAATTCACCACCAAAATGAAGAAAATCGTAAATCATTTCAGAACTTTGTACGGTGAATTTGCAGATTGGTTAGAAGCATGTCGCGCTCAAGATCTCACAACCAATACTACACTTGAATTTGATAATCACACATTTAGTCGAGCAATTGCAGGGTACCGACCTGATAATGACGTATTTGTTGGACGCGAAGATGCTGAACAAGAGATCATAGTATGATTGATCAACGACAACGAGAAAAGCCTCCGCGTGATTTCACTAGTTGGCGAAGAAGCAATCGGAAAGACAACTCTGGCAAGAAAAGTTCACAACAGACTAAACATTCGGCAGCATTTCTAGTGTCGTGCTTGGCTCCATGTTCCAAAAGAATTTTCATACAAAGATATGTTGCTTGTCATGCTCAGACAAACTCCAAATTTATTGAAAGACATAGAGCTAATAAAGGAGAACGAACTCTCAATTTTCCTTTTCACGATTTTAATGGAGCTCAAGTTTCTAATAGTCTTGGATGATATCTGCACCAATGATGACTGGCTCAAATTTGTGCGTCCCTTTGCAGACGCTGCGAATGGTAGCAGAGTCACAATCACTACTCGTGACTCTAAGGTTGCGTCGGAGGTAGATCCGTGGAGTCATCCTCTGAATCTAATGCAGTTAACAGAAGAGGATACTTGGGCATTGTTCTTGAACAAAGCGTTTCCAGAAAATAGTTCAGAGAATAATTTAAACAATGTCAAGGCTGAAATTCTGAGTTTATGTCGCGGTTTGCCTATGGCTATTGTCTTGTTGGGAGGCTTGTTGTCGACTGTGAAATTAAGCGAGTGATCAACAATCATTGATCATCTCCTTGCTCGAGATCATCATTTCTTAAAATGTATTGTTGATTTGAGCTATGAAAAATTACCATATGGATTGAAGCTTTGTTTTCTTTATTTGGCTATGTTTCCTAAATCGTATGAGATTCCAATGCGAAGGTTATTGCAGTTGTGGGTTGCTGAGGGGTTTGTTCAAACACCGAATAGACCAAGCATCGACTCTAAAGATATGGCCATGACATGTTTGGAAGAACTAGAGCGAAGAAACATGGTTGAAATTGCGGAAAGGAAATCAGATGGAAGCCCCAAGACATGTCGTATGTCGTGTTTCCTCTACAATATCTTCTTACCAAAAGCCGAGGATATAGGATTTCTTCACGTGCACCGTCTCAATTCAGATTGCACACTTGCAAATTCACATATTATTCGGAGGATTGCAGATCAGTTTCTTGGGGTTAAGTCTACTTCAGAATCTCATACTCGAAATCTATGTTCTTATGTTTCTTTCGAAGCCCAAAAGAGAGTTACATCCAACACAAAAATTGCTAATTTGCTTAATTCACTAGTCAATAAGGGGAAAAGTTTTGTTCCTTTGAAGGTGCTTGATCTAGAGGGTGTCTACAAACCTTGGCTACCCAAGAAACTCAGCCAGTGCTTGAAGAACCTAAGGTATGTAGGCTTGCGATGGACCGGCCTATACACATGTCCGGATTCTATTGGGGATTTGCAATCCCTAGAGACTCTAGATTTGAAGTATACTAATATAACCGCTTTGCCAAGTTCAATTTGGAAGGCAAAGAGCCTTCGGCATCTCTATATGACCGGGGTGTCCATTCGAAAGCCATCATTGAAAGAGTCTTTGACTTCAACATCCAAACTTGAGACATTAACGGGGCTCGTGATTGGTTCTAAAGAGGCATCTGATGAAGAAAATGACAACTATTGCTTGGACTGGTTCACAGGCCTAAAGAAATTAGGACTCACTTGCCATTCTAAATCGGTAGAGAAAACAGTTAAGTGCATGTCACGACTCGACAAACTTGAAACCTTGAAATTGAGATCAAGAGACCTTCCATTCGGTCAACCTTCAGACCTCGTGTTGAGTCCTTTAAAAGACCATCAGACTCTGTCAAAATTGCATTTGTTTGGACTGATAAAACATGGGATACACAATCTTCCACTCAATCTCAAAATCCTAACATTGTCGATGTCGTGACTAAGAAAAGATTCGATGCGTGTGCTAGGGAAGCTGTCTCGGCTAAACATCCTCAACCTTTCCACACGCGTCTATGTTGGGGAGAAAATAAGATGTCTTTCTGGGGAATTTCGCCAACTCCGCGTCTTGAAATTGTGGAAGCTGGAAGATCTAAGGCAGTGGACGGTGAGGAAAGGTGGTCTGCCCCAACGTGTCACTGCTGGAAAAATGACTTTTAGCGGCGTTTTAAAAACGCCGCTATATGTATGAAAAACGCCGCTAATTCCTTTAGTGACGCTTATCACCAAACGTCGAGGACGCGGCCGTCGCTATAAGTTTATGACGCTTTAAAAACGTCGTAAAAATTAGTATAGGCGGCGTTTTTAAAAACGCCGCTAAATGCGATAAATAATGATAAAATGACGTCATCCAATATTTAGCGACGTTTTTAAAACGCCGTGATAGATTTTTTTATTTTAAAAAAATGTCCGTTGGCACTGTAGTGGCGTTTTGAAAAAACGCCGTTATAGCTCTTTTTTTTAAAAAAAAATTGTTCTGAATCTGTTATATTTAACTAAAAAACATACCTTTAATAAAGCTGAAAAATAAGAATAATATGAATAAAATTTTACAGCTACTTCAATATATTGACTACATAAACATTACATGATTGTGTCTGAACCAAAATCAAACAACAAACACAATCAAAAAATAAAAAGAAAAAATAGGTTAAGTCATTTGCTTGCACATGCAGATGCAATGGAATAGTCAAGCATATTACACATCATTACACTGCAGAATAGGGATTCGTATTCAATTAATCATAATAGGTTCATGTACAACAAAAGACAATTTTGAGCAGGATACATTCCCAAATCCCAGTCAACACAAAGGAATGCAGAGAGCCCGGTGAACAAACAATTTATGCTACTTCAATATATTGACTAAATAAACATTACATGTTTGATGGTTTCCATAACGATTCCCCTTGCAGTAGAAATTTTCTTCCTCCTCTTGATGATTTCAATCGAACAAACAATTTCCCAAATATCCCATTAAACAACTTCCCACATTATCATCTAGCTTTGAGTCAATCAAAAGAACAAAACTAGAGTAATGCACACCAGGTATATATTACAAGTAAAATGTATTCTATAAGCTTGAAAAACAGTGCCATCGGGTTTTAATCCCCATGTTCCAGAGAGTGCATGGACACAGGTTGTCCCATGCAATTCCTTCCTTTTTGTTGTTCCTAAAGACAACACAAAGAAACACAAAATAGCTTTAACACACAAGATGATAAACATATTAGCAAAGATAGATAACTAAAAGCTCAACAGCCCAGCCTAAGCGTACATATGGGCTATCATCCAAGGTGCAATTTTTTTAAAAACCAGTAAACACCCTGCAAACAGCATTGAAATTGAGAAGAAAACCAAAACAAACTGAATGGGGTAACAACTTGCAAAGGCATCAACCATTACTAATGCTATCTACTCTAGGGTATGGAGGATGTAGCATCAACGCTTTATCATGTCTGTACATATACTAGCAAGTACAAGCAGATGGAGGTGTAGTTGAACTTTATTGTTTTGAATTGAAATGCTAGCTAACAATTTGCTAACCAGCACTAACATCTCACTAGATTTTTCTATTACTGCTCAACTATCTACTAGAGTCAGATTTTGACATACTAGTGCATGTCAGTGCTCGATTTTACAAGCCATGTCATTAGTGGTGGATATGTAAAATGAAGTGATATGTGATGCACATAGTAATTACTATGATGCAGAAAGAACGACATCAAGCTTGAATTCTAGAAAAGAATTCAGTTGTACTTTCGTGTATCATCTATAATCCCTAGGGTTCTTCAGTTGCAAAAATTGTCAAATTTATTCTATTTAGGCTTAAATTATGACTCCTAAGCAAATGAAAATGAGATTTTCAAAGAAGGCCCAAGTTTCTAAAGTTATGAAGCACCTAGAATATAATCACTTTTGTCAAAATGTAAATTTAAATATAAAAGATACCTGCACTTGAAGTTGATCCTTTGCGCTCTTTAAAGTGGAATCATTTACTGAAGGCTTATTCCTCAGAATTCTGCAAGACATGAAACCACATGGTTATATTAGTTTTGTACAAGAGCAATTAAGGAGCATGAAAATGAAAAATTAAACAGAATAGATTTGCCAGCAATAACCATATCGCCTTACAAGAGATTCAAAGACTTCATATCCTTAAGAAACGCCAATGAAGAACTTCCATTAGATAAATCACTTATCCTTCTAGATGAGCATGGGTATGTTATAAAAGAGAAGCACCCAAGGAATAAGGTACTCACCTGTATAAATGTCGAAGGACCCCCAAGAATATCAAAATACTTCTTAAGCCGCTCAACAATCTGTTTAAAGGAAAAATAAACCATTAGCACTGGTGCAAGCAAATTTAGTGACAAAAATCAACTTTTTTTAAATTTAGCATCATCCACAAGAACTTTAATGTTTGGTTAATAAAAAAATAAATTTGTGCCCGCATGAAATAAAAATGTTTAAAGTGAGTACACCATAAAAAACCAAATACAATGAAAACAAATCCATGTCTGAATGATAATTATTAAAACAAATCATCTTGCATTTACTTTCAAGACATTGATCGGAGAGATGAAAAAGTGATTTAAAATATCACAGTCGCGATCTGATATACGTATAGTCTGCTCGAGCGGAGAGTAATACGCTCGAGCGTAAGACACAAAATCTAGACCCGCTCAAGCACCAAGGCACAATAGCAAAAAACCACCCGCTCGAGCGCAAAGATACCCGCTCGGGCGGAGAATACACTCCTCCAGTATTTTTAAAGACTCTAGACACTTGCTCGAGCGCAAAACACCCGCTCGAGCGCAAACCCGCTCGAGCGTAAGGAACGCCGCTCGAGCGTGAAAAACACCCCTGCAGTATATTTGCAGACGCACAAAATGCTGAAAGGATGCAAACTCCGCTCGAGCGCAACAAGACCCGCTTGAGCGGATCATCAAAAATCTGGGCAACAAGATTAGAGACTAAGACTCAACCAACCTGTTCAAAACACGCCCAAGACATCCTAATAGACCAAGAATTAAAGGACGGAACGAGGCATAAACAACAATACTCAATCATGGACTCAAGTCCGGGATACTGTACATAAAAGGGAAAACCCGGGATCGCTATGATTTGAATTTAGGTTTTATATAGAATAAGAGAAGATACTATGGAGAGGCTGTATAATAAAAATATAGACTATTTGTATATGGTCTGGATCGGTTCCAATCCGGAACCGTGGGATTCAATCCGGAACCAATCTGTGGACTACGGATTTTTAATTCTTCAATCCGGAACCAAACCATAGATTCAAAAAACCAATCCAAACCTATTGGATTGGATTAGACTAGATCGGATTACGGATTTCACAGATTCCTTGCTCAGTCCTAGAGAAAATGCAGAATCTGCTAGTGCTTGCCAAGGGAAGATTTTTAATCTTTCCTGGATTCAGAAACAGCTTGCATGTTGCCATCAACGAACTCAAACTGATTTTGAGCTTCCTCAAAGTCGAAGCAAAGAATAATACCAGTAGTAGGAATTCGTTACAGGCTCGTCTTCTTCTTACTATTTACTTTGCATAGCACATCACTAATGTTTTCCTCCTAAATGCAAACATAACAAGAAGAAGATTAGATAGGGTTAGTGCAGCTTGTCAAATTATTCTTCAAAAAGCCATTAATGGTGTTTCCACTGCGGACCCAAGTTTAATTCACCACCAAAATGAAGAAAATCGTAAATCATTTCAGAACTTTGTACGGTGAATTTGCAGATTGGTTAGAAGCATGTCGCGCTCAAGATCTCACAACCAATACTACACTTGAATTTGATAATCACACATTTAGTCGAGCAATTGCAGGGTACCGACTTGATAATGACGTATTTGTTGGACGTGAAGATGCTGAACAAGAGATCATAGCATGATTGATCAACGACAACGAGAAAAGCCTCCGCGTGATTTCACTAGTTGGCAAAGAAGCAATCGGAAAGACAACTCTGGCAAGAAAAGTTTACAACAGACTAGACATTCGGCAGCATTTCTAGTGCCGTGCTTGGCTCCATGTTCCAAAAGAATTTTCATACAAAGATGTGTTGCTTGTCATACTCAGACAGACTCCAAATTTATTGAAAGACGTAGAGCTAATAAAGGAGAACGAACTCTCAATTTTCCTTTTCAAGATTTTAATGGAGCTCAGGTTTCTAATAGTCTTGGATGATATCTGCACCAATGATGACTGGCTCAAATTTGTGCGTCCCTTTGCAGACGCTGCGAATGGTAGCAGAGTCACAATCACTACTCGTGACTCTAAGGTCGCGTCGGAGGTAGATCCGTGGAGTCATCCTCTGAATCTGATGCAGTTAACAGAAGAGGATACTTGGGCATTGTTCTTGAACAAAGCATTGCCAGAAAATAGTTCAGAGAATAATTTAAACAATGTCGAGGCTAAAATTTTGAGTTTATGTCGCGGTTTGCCTATGGCAATTGTCTTGTTGGGAGGCTTGTTATCGACTGTGGAATTAAGCGAGTGATCAACAATCATTGATCATCTCCTTGCTCGAGATCATCATTTCTTAAAATGTATTGTTGATTTGAGCTATGAAAAATTGCCATATGGATTGAAGCTTTGTTTTCTTTATTTGGCTATGTTTCCTAAATCGTATGAGATTCCAACGCGAAGGTTATTGCAGTTGTGGGTTGCTGAGGGGTTTGTTCAAACACCGAATAGACCAAGCATCGATTATTGCAGTTGTGGGTTGCTGAGGGGTTTGTTCAAACACCGAATAGACCAAGCATCGACTCTAAAGATATGGCCATGACATGTTTGGAAGAACTAGAGGAAGAAACATGGTTGAAATTGCGGAAAGGAAATCAGATGGAAGCCCCAAGACATGTCGTATGTCGTGTTTCCTCTACAATATCTTCTTACCAAAAGCCGAGGATATAGGATTTCTTCACGTGCACCGTCTCAATTCAGATTGCACACTTGCAAATTCACATATTATTCGGAGGATTGCAGATCAGTTTCTTGGGGTTATGTCTACTTCAGAATCTCATACTCAAAATCTATGTTCTTATGTTTCTTTCGAAGCCCAAAAGAGAGTTACATCCAACACAAAAATTGCTAATTTGCTTAATTCACTAGTCAATAAGGGGAAAAGTTTTGTTCCTTTGAAGGTGCTTGATCTAGAGGGTGTCTACAAACCTTGGCTACCCAAGAAACTCAGCCAGTGCTTGAAGAACCTAAGGTATGTAGGCTTGCGATGGACCGGCCTATACACATGTCCGGATTCTATTGGGGATTTGCAATGCCTAGAGACTCTAGATTTGAAGTATACTAATATAACCGCTTTGCCAAGTTCAATTTGGAAGGCAAAGAGCCTTCGGCATCTCTATATGACCGGGGTGTCCATTCGAAAGCCATCATTGAAAGAGTCTTTGACTTCAACATCCAAACTTGAGACATTAACGAGGCTCGTGATTGGTTCTAAAGAGGCATCTGATGAAGAAAATGACAACTATCGCTTGGACCGGTTCACTGGCCTAAAGAAATTAGGACTCACTTGCCATTCTAAATCGGTAGAGAAAACAGTTAAGTGCATTTCACGACTCGACAAACTTGAAACCTTGAAATTGAGATCAAGAGACCTTCCATTCGGTCAACCTTCAGACCTCGTGTTGAGTCCTTTAAAAGACCATCAGACTCTGTCAAAATTGCATTTGTTTGGACTGATAAAACATGGGATACACAATCTTCCACTCAATCTCAAAATCCTAACATTGTCGATGTCGTGACTAAGAAAAGATTCGATGCGTGTGCTAGGGAAGCTGTCTCGGCTAAACATCCTCAACCTTTCCACACGCGTCTATGTTGGGGAGAAAATAAGATGTCTTTCTGGGGAATTTCGCCAACTCCGCGTCTTGAAATTGTGGAAGCTGGAAGATCTAAGGCAGTGGATGGTGAGGAAAGGTGGTCTGCCCCAACGTGTAGAATTAGAAATTAGAGGCTGTGATAATCTGGAAAACTTGGAGGGATTAAAGGAGCTGTCTGAATTGAAAGAATTGATTTTAACAAACATGCCACAAGAGTTTGTAGCAGATTTGAGAGAAAAGTTGGACAGAGACAGAGACATAATCACCAACGAGTGGAAGTCTTTCTCTCTTGCCTGTAAGTTCAATTTCTTCACTACCATGAAAGTTTTTTTTTTAAAAAATTAAGGGCAAATTACACTAATAGTCCCTATAGTTTAGGATTTGTGTCACTTTAGTTCCTGACTTTTCAATTGTGACACATTTGATCATGAATTTTGAATATTGTTCCAAATAAGGACAATTAAACATACCATTGCTTAATTTCAAGGGCAAAATCATCAATTTGATAAAATATAAACTAATTTGACAAAAATAAATGTCAAAAAAATATTTTAAAATTTCTTAAAAATTATTTCTAGCTACCAAAAATAAAATTATGTAAAATTGATAAAAATTAATAAAAATTACATGATTAAGTTTTAAAAATTAATTTTACATGATTATCATCCAAGTACATAATAAAAATTAATTTAGTAAAAAAAAATAAATGTCTAAAAGATTTATCAATTTTATTTAATTTTATATTCAGTAGCTAGAAATAATTTTAAAAAATTCAAAAATAATTTTTTGACATTTATTTTTGTCAAATTAATTTATATTTTATCAAATTGATGATTTTGCTCTTGAAAAATCCAATAGTATCTACAATTGTCCTTATTTGAAACAAGATTCAAAATTCAAGGTCAAATGTATCACAATTAAAAAGTTAGGGGCCAAAATGACACAAGCCCCAAACTATAGGGACCATTAGTGTAATTCACCCTTAAATTAAATACACACATGTTCGGATTTAGATCTTTTTCATTACAGTTTACATGCAGTTCTGTAGTCAACAATAATACATTGAATTGTCAGGCTATCCATTTAAAAGTGGGGTAAATTACAAATACATCTCCTGAGGTTCGCTTAAAATACAAATTAATCCTGTGGTTTGAAAAATTACAAATATTTCCTTATTAGAATTTTTTATTTAACAGAATTAACTAAAAAAATAAAATTCATAATTGCTCTCCTATACAATTATAAAATTACCTAAATTATTAATTGAAACATATTTTTAACATCATTAAAAACTGTTAATTGACTTGATAATTTATTAATAAAAGGGGCGATTTGTTATGAAATTAGAAACCTCAGGGGGGTGGAATGTAATTTTCAAAATCACCGGGGTGATTCGTATTTTAATCAAATCTTGGGGGTGTATTTGTAATTTACCTTTTAAAATAAAATAAAATAAAAAATTATTTATGTTTAAACATGAACAAGACCATGGTTTTTGAGAATTGCTGTTATTGGATCATATGTCCAATGCTTACTCTCTCTTTTTTCCATCTAATTTGAGTGAAAATTTGGCTAAAAGGTTTGATATGACATTGTTTAAAAAATTATTTTTGTTTTTTTTCATCAAATCTTTTTTGAAAAATACCAACTTTATATTTAGACCTGTCTTAATAATTTTTTATGAAAGAAAAACAACTCTAATCCTTAATCTTTTTAAAATTTCCCCCAAATTTGAACAAAAATATGACAATGATTAGAGATTATGTGAGTGTCTAAAAAGTTTAGACACACCAATTTGTTTGCTGAAATAATTAAAAATTAATCTAGTACAATCATAATATTTTCTAATAAAAATCACAATATGCTGTAATTTTTTCAAAAAAAAAAAAAATATATTTGTGACATATATATATACACGTTTTTAATGTAGGATTAGTGCTCATGGAAGTTGGAGGCAAATCTAGATTGTAGCTCGCTGATGAACTGCTTAGAAGTGAAGACAATCAACCACAACCCCAAGGCAGGTGGCCGAGCGGTAAAGCTTGGAGGATAAAATCCACAGGTCTCGAGTTCGAGTCACACCTTGGGGCCACTGGAGGTTTCCCGGTCGTTAACTTCAGGGCCCTGAGATTAGTCGAGGTGCGCGAAAACTGGCCCGGATACTCAGTTATCAAAAAAAAAAGACAATCAACCACACTTTTAGAAAAGAAAATACTTATGTCGACGACCTAGCAAATCAAAAAATTCCCGCTAATGAAGAAACTCATATTTTTCTACATCCCCTCCTTGTATTTGTAATCAAATGTTTGATGATGCTTGCTAGGATGGTCTACTACCCTAGAACCTTGTAACCATTTACTTTTTTTATCCATAATATTACTGCTCTACTATTACCAAAAAAGAAAAAGAATGTCCATTTCGCAGCTTGCTCTTCACATCACTGTGCTTGTCTATGTAAAATAAAGTTGCATGTCTTTTTGAATTTGTGTTTGGCTTGATTAAATAAATGAAAATATTATATATAAAGGGAAAAATAAGTTAGTTTATTGGTTTATTAGCTTATTTGGATCAAATTAACTCTATTTTTTATTTATTTTTTCCGTAACAAGCCAAAAATCAACTTATAAGTTACTTCTCAAAATAACCAAATATATATATATATATATATATTATAATCAAATAGTTCAACATAGACCCATAATAATAGCATAGAGAAGGGAGTGCATTATACTAATTTTGTTACTGTACTTTATCTATTACAATGATATATATGCAACTGCCTCAGGGTTTTCCCTGGCATATATATATATATATATATATTAGTTTAAATAGGCTGGTGCAAAGTACAGATTATTATTACAGTGTGTTTAAATTTTATATTTTAATAATTTTTTTAAAATTGAAATATTGTTCAATGAAATTGAATAGAATTAGGAGTGTTCGCAGTTCAATTGCGGCCCAAAGGAACCTCTAATTCACCATCCGTCTGAAACTAGGTGGATTGAAGAAAATCAATCCGCAACTGTTCGCCGAATTGGTGGATGGGAATTGAATGGATTGACGGATGGATGCAACTCGGTTTGACAATTTATATTTTCACAAATTTTTAACATAATCAAACCCATCCACATAATTTTTTTTTTTTTGATAACAATCAAATCATAATAACAATCCAATCTGTCCAGCTTCAGGAAAATCGTCTTTTTCTTTTTTTATTCACCCAAAAAAAGAAAAATATTTTTCAATAAACAATTTTGATAATTTATTATTGCATAGGAGAATATTTTTTTCCCCTGCATATCGTGTCAAATTAAAATTTATAACAAACGATAATTGTAATTGTGGGGATGTATTTTCTGAATACCAACACGTGGCAAGGTGACGCCGACGTGTCAGCCGAAGTGCCACGTGTTCTTGTTGTGACGCCAAGGTTATCTTGGCGAGGCCGAGGTTATCTTCGAAGATATCGGAATCCGAGATAAGCGGATAATGGATAAGGAGCAAGAGTCCTAGAGTAAAGAGAAGACTTTGCTAAGATAAGGATAAAAGCTCTTAGGGAGTTTATATTTATCTCTTGAGAAATCGAAAGTAAGCACTGAATGGGAGTCCATAGAAGTTAGGCTTCTAGTGGGATTAGGATTGAGTAAACTATAAAAGA